CCATCCATCCACCCATCCACCCACCCATCCATCCATCCATCCACCCACCCATCCATCCTTTTCTTTCCATGGAATGAACGTTTTCTTTTCTGTGGGGTCATCCTGAGGTCACCACAGCCCCCTGAGCCCGTCCTCACAGCCTGACAAGGTGGTTTGGTAAGCAGTGACAGTCTCTCATTGTGGCACCATAACCCTACAGTAAAACAGACAAGAAGAAGCAGAAGAAGAAGAAGGCAGACAGGAAGGGCGGACAGAGCAACGCGGGATTGGAGCTGGAGGAGGAGTCCTCAGATGAGGAGAGAAGCAAGAAAACAGCCTTGTGAGGCCTCTTGTCGCCTGGGGGTGTTCCGTCCACACCCCTCACGCCGCAGCCACCACCTGAAGCTGAACTGGTGTCATCTGGGTCTGAAAACTGTCCTCAGATGAGGAGGCCAGCTCTCCCTATAGCCCCCACACTCATCCCCTTCCCCACGGATACACTGGCCACTGGCCTGTTGTCCACTCCTATCCATCTGCCCTCCTTCTGCATCCTCTCTCACATCCAGTCTGCCCCCTCCAGGCACACTCGTGGTGTCACCTAACTGTCCCGTATGTTTGTGAGTCCCATCGCTGCTCCTGGGAGGCTTTCTACCCTCTGTGCTATTTGTGTCTTGAAGGAGAGATACCCTGTGGTCCAAGCTTTCTGCCCCATAGTCACTTGGTTCCTCTGAGGACCAAGGACCGTGGACCTTGTTTCACCCTAGGGTCTCTGGTTCTTGAGTCCTCCCGGGACAAGCTCTTTTGGGCAGACAGTTCGAGCAATGGCCACCAGGGGGCGGTGTGACTTCCCAGCACCTTCCTTTAATAAAGGCCCTAATGCTGTGTAGTCTCTTTATGTGGGCTTAGGCCAGAGCCCAAAGCAGGGGCCCTGGACCACTGAGAGCTGGCCTGGGCCCAGGCTGTCCACAGAGGTGTCTAGTTGGTTCTCACGAAGGACATGGTGTTAGACTCATGTCTCGAGGACTTGGCTCCTGCCCAGTGCTGTGGGCACTGGGAAGGTGGTCCAGCCTCTGGGGGCTCCAGCCCCTCCCGCCGGGTAAGGACCCAGCTCTTCACGCTGGGTAAGGGGGTTGGGTTCTTTCTTATTTTGAGACTTGGTCTCATGTTGGCCAGACTGGCCTCAAGTTGCCCCTGAAGCCACAGATGATGTTGAACACTCCTCCTGCCCCCAGACAGGCCCGAGCCGCCATGCCACCCCTATGGCTCAGGCTGGGGCAGAAACTCTTCCCCCTGAGTCTAGGCAGTCTGCCCCACAGCAGGAGGGGCCGCATGATGGGCCTGAGCTTGTGAGCACAGCGTGTGCAAAGGCCCTGGGGCTGGTGGCAGCTCCCCCTCCTGATTCAAGCAGAGCACTTCAGGGACGCACAGGAAGGAAGAACCACGAGAGCCAAAGCTTAAGCTTATTTAATTTTTATACATTTTTTTCTTCCATTTTTTGACTTTTATTGAATCTTTTATGGACCCCCCTCACTGTTTTTGTTTGTTTGCATAGGGAGAAACGGAATAGCAGGCAGTCAGTGGTGCTCAGGCGGGTCCACAAAACAAAACAAAAGCCAGAAATCAAAATGACTTTGTAATCTATGGTTATGAGTGGAGTATGCTGTGAGCAGGGCTGTGCAGTGAGTGGCCTGGGGCGCCCTCTGCTCCCCATCCAGATCCCCCCCCCCGTGTGCTCTGGGAGGAGGGGCAGAGGCCTACACAGACCACGCAAATGCGGTTAGGAAAACCTGACGGTCAGAGCAGAGGTGCAGCGACCCGGAGTAAAATACCAAGTGGCTGAAGGGGAAAACTCAAACCCAAAAGACCTCTGCAGGAAAACACCCAGCAAACAAGGGCGGCCAGGGGGAGGAGCAACAGAAACAGTCCCCTCCCACTCCCTGAACCCGGGAGTGCCTTGCACGCCCCGTGCCCAGTCTAGTCCCTCAAACACAATGCTTGTCAGGTGCTGCAGGGCAAGTCGGGGTGCTTAGGCTGAACCCTCAGTCTTGAGTGGGCACAGGTGACTGCATCAGATCTGAGGTTGGATGGGGTGTGACATTTTGGGGGTATCCAGCTGGGTACCCCGAGCTAGGGTAGTGAGGCTGGGGGAGGGGAGAGTGGTGGCTTGGGGGTACATGCCTTCCTCCCACCCAGCGCACCTGCTGTTTCCTGTCCCACATCCTAGGGGAGCAGGGATGGGGACTGAGGGGGGCGGGGGAGGACCCCTAAACTGCACCATCTGATAGACGTGAGGCACTGATCGGGAAATGACTGTTTGGTATCATGGCTACAAGATCTGGAGACTGGCTGCCAGTCCTCTCTCCTGGGCCCTGCAGTGGGGCGACAGTCCCCAGCTGAGTGCTCTGGAACACTTAGCGCTGGACAAATGACAGAGGGAGAAGACCGCTATTAACAGGTCAGATATGAGGTTTGGGCGGGGAATTCAGGAGTGGTGGTGCACGCCTGTCGTCAGAGCAACTGAGAAACAGAGGCAGGATGGCCACCAGTTGGAGGCCAACCTGGGGAGACCTTCCTGTCTCTAAGATATCAAAACAAAACCATCAGTGGGGAAATTGAGTGGCTGGATCTCGAACCCAGTACCCCGGAGGAGCAAGGGCTACTCAGGGGTCTCGGACAAACTGAAGGGAGGGAGGAAGCTACTGTGGTCAGCACTACAGGGATTGATTAACTGCAAAGTAAATGCATGTGTATGTACAGATGCTGCACAGCCCAAAAGCCGGCCTGCAGGCGGCTCCCAGGCGCACTGTCCCAAAGGGCAGGACATTTGCTGGTGGCCTGGGGGCGGCTTGCTTGCCCACATTGTAGTACGGCCTGGCCGGTTCATCCCCGGGACGGGGCAGGGGTGGGGCAGAAGGACGCCATTCCCCTGATGTCATTTCCACCACCCCGGGTATTCCTGATTATCAAGCTCAGGACCTCAGACGTCTGGTTCCCACCTGGGAAACAGTCACAGGCTACACCCCAAAGCAGCAGCTGTGGGGGCTTCACCAGGGCGCGATGCTGGGTTTGGGCCTGGGTAAGGGATGGTGGCCTGAGGAGAGGATGTTTGAAAAATGTTTCATACATAGGAAAACAGAAACGAAAATCTCCTGCCGTGCTTCAGTCATCCACCTGAGGACCAGTGTGGGGTCCATGGGTGGGAACTGGAGATCTTCTGAGAAATGGGGGGGGGGATGCTGCGTGGCCCCTCCCGACCTGTCGCCGGGCATGCTCTGTCCACTGTCCCCGCCCTCACCCGCCTTGATGGTCCCTGCGAGATGGTGCTACCTCTCCTGGCACGGGAGTGGACAGGCTGAGGAAGGAAAAAGCTGTAAGTCAGCCAGGCCTACACATGACACGCCGGGCTGAGGTGGGTGGGGCGGTGGTCCCCACATCATGCTGAGCCTGCCATGGCCTCTCTGCCAGCACCCAACACTCAGGGCTGAGTGGGGCGACAGGCGGACTGGTGGCGGGTGGGGCCGGGGCAGAAAGAAGCAAGGGGATGGCTTGGAGCCCCGCTAAGCCCCTGACAACTATCTTAGCTTTGGTGAACTTTAAGAGCAGATTTAACAGAAGACAGAAAAACAGAACAACAAAAACCCAAAGGCAACTACAAACAATAAAACCGAAAAAGAAAAACTGAAATCACGGACTTGGGATGGCCCCGCTGTGTCCCCTCCACTGCTGGGACTCCCCACAGCTGAGCTTGAGCAGACAGACGGACGGACGGACGGACGGATATTGCATATATTCAGGTTTGTGGGTTGGCTGGAAGACAGAGGGGCGGCCTTGGGGAAGGTTGACCCCAGGCTGGCCCTGGGGCAGAGGGTTGGGGGGGCTCAGGGAATGAGCACCAGGTGACTCCAGCCCCCCACTGCGGGGTGAGGCGGGGCCAGGGTGGGCGGGGATCACAAGCCATGACCAATTGTGACTTCCTTAATAGTGATGTTTTTCCTGTTTGTTTCTATGTTTTGGTTGCCCCTCCCCCCTTTCTTGAGGCAGTGTCTTACTCTGTAGCACAGGCTTGACCTGGAACTCAGAGCAATCCTCCTGCCTCAGCCTCCCAAGGGCTAGGATCACAGGCGTGCGCCACCACGCCCAGCATTCTTTCTTATATTAAAAAGTCTCGCTTTCATTTGATTTTTTTCTTTTCTTTACAAATAGAAATACCACCCTTTTGGATTTTATTTTTTATTTCATGTAATCGCTTGTCTGTTTGTAACTATGCGTGCAGGGCATGCGTCTGTGTGCGCAGATATTATTTAAAAGTTAATACTTGTCCTCGGGAGAGCAAGGCACATGTTGTGGTAAAAAGTTCGTGCAAATTTGGAAATAATGGATTTTTTTCTTTTTTTGGTAAGGATCTATACATATATATATGTATATGTATATATATAGTATCCTTTTTTTTCTTTCTTAGTAGAGGCGGTGAGGGAAGTGGGTGGGTAGGCGGACCTGTCATGCACACAGCAGCCCGGCGGGGAAGGGGGCTCTTGGGTGTCGCGGGGCCTTAAGCACCATGCAGTTAGGTAAATAGTTGGTTTTGTCCTGACCCCTCTGACCCCTGGGGGACCCGGCTGGCTGGCTTGGGGGGGAATCAGAGGGGACTTGCCAGGTCTACCCTGCAGACGGCCCATCCCACACCCACTGGCCTGAACCCCATCTGGACAGTGGCCTCCGTGATGTCCCCAGTGGTCCCCCTACTGGAGGGTCCCTGAGGACAGACGGACAGATGGTGGGGGTTTGAGGCCATGAAGACTGGGCAAGTCTTGAGGAGCTTTGTACTTAACCAGTATCCCAGGGAGGACTGCAGGTGGGTGGGGCCTGGCGGGGGGGCGGGGTCCGCAGGGAGGGGACATGACAGCGCCAAGTATGATGGGGCCAAGATGGGTGGTTGGGGAGGAGGGGCCTTTGTAGGTTTAGTGACCTTAAAAGGACCAACATCCCTCCCACGGCTGGCCATCCAAGATAGGACTGGGTGGGTGCGTACGGGGGCTGCAGAGCTGGGGTTGGGGCATGGCCCTTGCACCCCGTCTTAGTCTTAGTGTTTTTAGGCCAGTGAAGTACGCATAGCAGATGGGGGACCCCAGCCAGCAGTCCACCCTGTCACCCCATCACTCCCAGAGCCCTCCCACCTGGGATCCGAGTGCACTTCCACCAGCCTTCTTGGTCCCTGTGCTGGGCCCCACATCATCAGGAGGGTCAAAGTGCAAAGGGGGCATCCCCCTGCTGTGGGGTACCCCAGGGTGTGTCTCCAGGAAGTAAGGCACTGGCAGAAGTGTAGGGGGACGGCGCATAGCCCCAGCCTGGGTTTCGGGACACCCAGCTCTACCCCCCTGGGGTCCCATCTCTCTAGCTCGGAGGGCGCGCGGTGATGAGAGCGGGGAACACGGAGACGGGGGGTGGGGTGCCCGAGCCGCTCGGTGTCCCCGATGGACGAGGTGGACGCGGGTGGGTGGAGGGGCTAGGCACTTAGATCGCGACACCTCCCGCCTCCAGGAACCTCGGCGTGGGGGGCCCGGTTCCCTCACCTCTGTTTCTCAAAGTGCTGATACTTTCCATGTGCGAGGGGAGGCCGGAGGGACGGTCGGGAGCTGCGTGGCCTCTCATGCTGGGGTTGGGACAAATTGCATAGAGAGATGTGTCCTTCCAAATGAGGTCCGCAAGGAAAGGGGCCAGAGGGCCGAGATGGAGGCTGGACGCAGGACCCTCCCCGGGGTCCCAAAGTACCTGTATGGCATGTCTGTCCCCAGCAGGGCCAGCGCTGGGCGGCTCCCACGCGCCTCTTCCGCCCACTGTGTGGGACGTCCGACCTCCAGCCTCCTGTCTTTGGCAAACACTGTCGGT